TGTCAAAAGCGCTTTGACATTTTTCTGACCAGAGGAATTTGGTGTCATTTTTCAGGGGCTCATTCATAGGTGCTACAATCTCTGAAAACCCTTTCACAAACCTACGATAGTAATTACATAGTCCTAGGAATGCCCTGACATCATGAACTGACTTGGGAATAGGATATTCTGTCACTGCCTTTATTTTCTCATGGTTCACACTGATCCCATCCTTTGAGAAAACATGGCCTAGATATTTTACTTCAGACACATGCCAGTACTCACCACAGTGGCGACATTGGTCCCTTTCTCTCCTGTCCTGCTGTTGGTCACTCTGCGTCCTTACACTGTTCACCTTTNATATTGAAAATGTTTTGCAATAAACTTGTAATATAAGGTATATCAGGCCTCATTAATGAGGNCTGCTGTACCTTTTAAATACAGGCATAGCTGTACCACCTGCTCTTCTTCTTTCCACTTTTTTAATTTTCCACTTTTTTCGAATTTTCCCAACCATATTTTTGCATCTGTAACACCGTCAAATTTTTCCAACACAGGTGTACTATGGTCTTTGTTAGCCATTTTACTGCACCACTAGATGTTCCATTCCGATACTTTCATGTAAATGGATGTAAAGGCATGAGGTTCGGTTGATAGATACCCCTACCCGGATTCTCCACCAAATATGTGACCGAGGTCGGTCTGGGGAATTAATACTCAAGTCCGTTTCCAGTTCATTTCTTTATTGTTGCCAACTTTCAGTTCCTACTTCTGCATACCATTGCTAGCACCTTCTATCTTAGCTCACTTCCAATCCTGATCTAATCTGGCTCACTTTCCATCTCCCAACTCTGACTCTGTTCTGCCTCTCTGTACTTCCGTCTGCCTTCTCTCTCCCTCAGTCTGCCTTCTCTCACCCTCTATCTTTCTGTATCTCTCCCTTATACTAAAAACTAAGAAGTGTCTAATATGCAAATTAGTTAACTAACATTTCTATTGGTCAACTGTAGATGGACAGCCATCAGGTGGTCAATAGAGGTTCCCAGGGCTCCAGCCTGTACCTTTAATTATCACTAATTGACCAGATCTCCATTCCTCTTTAGATGACCGACCAGTTAGCTTCCTGTCCTTTCATCAACCACACCACCATTCATATTTTGTTTCACAATAACTCCTTGTTCTCAACACTCTGTCTTCAGTTCTTTCACTTTCATCTGACATCTATTTAATCCTGTTCTCACGATTACCATTTCTAATTACATAACACACTGTCTTCAAATCTTCCTATTTCACACTGTCATATATTTTTCAAGTTATGCACATATATGCATATACACATAGTCAATTTGTTTTCTCAGGCTAACTTGAATTGAAATTTAAGGCGATACAAATACCGTTATATGCATAATTTTGCGTTTGAGGTTGTGTTTGTCTACATGGGTGATTAACATTCCATTTTGCTAAATATTTTATTGTTTTTTAAGTTTAAATCTAATTTAAGAGGGCTAATTCATTTCTCTGAATTAATGAAGATTAAATTTGTAGAACGTATTATAAGACTGAAGTAGAAATCTTGTAATTCAATCTCACGAATAGTCTTAAATGACAATTCTATGACAATATTCATTTTTTCCAGTACACATGGATTTCTAAACACATTATTTTATTACACATATTTCTTCCCAAAAAATATCTAAAAGTACCATATTAAAAAATAATAGGTCAGCATGTACATCCTGGTTTTTAAAATAAAACAAGCAGCCCAAGGGCCCTAACGGTCTCCCGAATTATATTTTAGGTAGTTTTCATAGTGCAGCAAGCATGAAAATAAAGAGAATTACATTTCTTATTATGTCACCAAAGAAAAAATGTAAAAAACACTTCAAATAAATGCAAATTTTCCTCTTTTGCCAACCCAAAAGGTAGGTCAGGATTTTACTTTCTGATACTATTTAATTTCAATTTCATTGTAGTTATTCTAATCAAGTTTGAATTATTTCCAGTTGAAAATGAACAAATATGGTCATAAATATTATTTTCCTATTAAAACTACAGAAAAATTCGCCAATCCCAAAGGGAGAGCAGAACTAGAACACTGACAGGTCAGTAAGGGCCCCGTCTTGTGGCAATATATCCCCCATAATCATCAGGAAGCAATCTGCCCATATAGCTGAGCTTGACGTTTGACATTTGGACTTCAAAAAGAATCGCAAGGAAGCAAAATAAACATTTTACATGTACTATGATGCGAGTCTTTTTTCCTTCCACCTCCATATTTGCTGGGCTAACAGAAATGTAGATACCAGTGCAATACTCATTTGTTAGCTTTGTTTTGTTTTATTTCACCTTATATGCCTCCTCCATCAAGAGCCAGGGTCAAAGTCAGAGATCCTCTTTGTCTTTGACCTTTGAACCTAAATGACCTGGACCATTACCCAGTGACCCTGATCTTTGGTCAGTTGACTTATTCTTTAATTCCGACCAACTTTGCCTCTTGATATCCTAACAAAATGTTCATCAGTGAAAAATACAAAAATTGACCTTGACCCTTTGAACCACGTAACCTTGACCTAAGGTCAGTTGACTCTGTGTTAAGTTCTGAACAACATTGCTTCATAATGTCATAACAAAATGTTCATCAAGGAAAAGATGCAAAATTTGACCTTGACCTATGAATATAATGACCTTGACTTTTGACCTCGACTTTTTACCTCAGTGTTTCTTTCTTTAATTCCGAACAACTTTTGCTTCATTATTTATGTCATAGCAAAATGTTCACCAGTGAAAAGCTACAAAATTTGACCTTGACCCCTGACCCGATGACCTTGACCTTTGGTCGGTTGAATCCTTGTTTAATTCTGACCAACTTTGCTTCATAATGTCATAACAAAATGTTTATCAGTGAAAATATTTGACCTTGACCTTTAAACCTAATGACCTTGACCTTTGACCTTGACTTTTAACCTCAATGTGTATTTTTGTGAACTGAACATCTTGACCAAGTTTCATATACATCGGTCAATAAATGCCAAAGTTATCAGCCAGGAACATAATTTGTGGACGGACGGTAAAACTAACAACTAAGTAGTATTTAGATTCATGAAGGGTACTTGAATCATACGAGTGTTCAGGAGATTTTTTTTTATAATGTTAGCCATTTTCCCCTTTTGGGCTCTGCCCCTCTGGCCCAAGGAGTGGGGCAGGATATTACCTTCTATACAATCTAATTGCCATATCATCATAATTTTTCGACCAAAGTTTGGATAATTTCTTGCTGAGAATAAAGAAAATATACCAAGAGTGTTTTTTCCCCAATATAAACTATAGTAAGCTCAACCCCCTGCCCCAAAGGAGAGCAAATGACCCAGGCCAAAGAAATTTACACTTAATTCAATGCATCTAAGGACATTTTCATCCATTGAAAGTATCTTATTTTGGTACATCCGAGTTTGAGGAAAATATTTGAAATTTTAGCCAAATGTACTCAATTGGACTCTGCCCCTCATCAGGCCTCTGCTACAAAGTAGGAACTTATTTTCTGATTCCATCTTATTGCTATCTCATCACAATTATTCAACCAGTTTTAATTATTTCCTGTTAAAAATGGACAAAATATACCCGAAAGTGTTCTTTCCCTATATAAACTCTGGTAAACTTTACCCTCTCCCCAAGGGAGAACAGATGACCCAGGGGGCAATGAAATTTATAATTGAGATTAAGCCCCTGATGATCTTTCCATCCATAAAGAGAATTTAATTCTAGTACATTATTTTTGAAATATAAATGTTATTTTCCCTTATAGGCCCTGCCCTGGCCGCAGGAGTTGGGGAAGAAATCCAAAATTTACAATTTGATACACTATTTACACAAATGATGGTTCCGACCAATTTTGAAAAAAAATCCATAAAGAAGCAAAATATGTGGAAAGTTTATGGACGACACACGACAATCGACGAAAGGTGATTGTTAAACAAGAGGCCTAGAGTGCCTGTATCGCTCACCTGAATATGTTTAAAATAATTGGTATGAAGTAAAGATATGCACTCTATGGTAGGTGCTATAAGTACATATGAAATTTCAAAGATCCATCCAGTACTTGAGATATAGCAAGAACAAATTTCAAACAGAGCCCCACCCCTATGCCCTGTCTCTCTGCTTCCAGGGGGGGNCCCCACCCTTCTGCCCCAAGGGGGGCCACACTCACTGTTTATACAAAATTTAATCCCTTTTGCTCAAGATCCTCCAGATCAAATTGGGAAGAAATCCCTTCATTCCTATGGTAGAAGAAGGATTTTAAAGGTTTACCTCTATTTCCCCTATTGGGCCCCGCCCTTCAGCCCCCTTGGAAACCCCACCCACTGCTTATAAAAAATTGAGTCCCCTTGGCCCAAGGATGCTTCAGACTAAATTAGGATAAAATCCCTTAATCAATATGGTAGAAGAAGGATTTTAAAGGTTTTACCACTATTTCCCCAGCCCCTCAGGTCCCAGGGGGGAAGGGCCACACCACCGTTTATAAAAAATTGGTTCCCCTTCATCCAAGGATGTTTCAGACAAAATATGGACCAAATCCTTTCATTCCTACAGAAGTAGAAGGATTTTAAAGAATAATTTGCTATGTTTCTCCTCAGGCCCCTGGGGGGCTAGACCCACGGTTTATACAAAATTGAGTCCCCTTGGCCCAAGGATGCTCCACACTAAATTAGGATAAAATCACTTAATCCCTACGATAGAAGAAGGGTTTTAAAGGTTTTATCTCTATTTCCCCTATTGGGCCCCGCCCTCTGCCCCCATGAGGGCCACACCCACCTTTTATACAAAATTGAGTCCCCTTGGCCTAAGTGGCCTAAGGATGCTCCAGACCAAATTTAGTCAAAATCTACTTAGCCGTTCAGGACTAGTAGCGATTTAAAGAAAAAGTTGACAGATGGACGACGGACGGACAACGTAAGCTGCGGTATGGCATAAGCTCACCATGATCCTTTGGACCAGGTGAGCTAAAAAACAACAAAGAACAGAAATATGAATTCAGTTATTTTGTTAATGTGCATCTTTACTGTTTAGTCAGTATTGGTTTTTTTCACAAAATTGTAAGTAAAATACCTGGGTACAATAAAAATATTTAATACCTGTTCAATGCATAAAGAAAATTAAGAGAGAAAAAACAAATACACTATCAAGTATGTCATGTGCCTAATAGCATGCTTTTGTCTTGTTTTTTGTGTTTTTCCATACATTCATTTCATGAGAGAATCAATCAATTCTGTTTAAAACCCGTGAAACATCAAATGGGAACCATGTTAGCAGTAGTAAAAGTGATAACAATGCATCACTAAAATAATGAACACAGCATTTCATAAATTGCACTTGATGCAGTACCCACTGTTCCGTTATCATTTCTATCACAGGAAATCTCTTCATCCTTCCCATCTTGCGAAAATACTCCTCATTCTTCCTGTTAAATGAATTTCGGAACAGTCTGCATCATCTGTTTTACTACTTTCCTTGACTGTTGTGCAGTGTTATAGACGACTTGCTTGGGTTCGGGATGGTTGAGGGTAGTATGTTAAGCGTTCATGATGACTGATGAGGGTAGTACAATGTTCAGAACAAGTGACTGGGTAAAATACACTTCGGTAATTTACTAGAGACACTAGCTTCACAACAATACAGCACATATACATAGTCAAGTGTACTTCATCCATGACCAGAAATTCCTGTCAGTCATCTGGTCTCTATCACAACATGGCATTTACATTTGTAGCGTCTGGCATCACGTCATCCACATGCAATATCATGTATTGCACATGTAATATAATGTGTTCCACATGACTTGGTCCATTTGAATAGCTTGGGCTGTTCGTAAAGGGGCCACATTTGCCAATTTTTCATAATATCACACAACATGAATTGGTTTTTCTAGCCTGCAAAAATAAATACAAAAACTTTTATTTACATGGAATTGCTTAACGTTTAATACAACTAAAATTTCTACTTGGAAATTAGAGGCAATGTCAATTTGTTAAAGTGAAAATAAATGACACGTTATTAATACTTGCCAAATATACGCAATATTTATATACAGTAGGTTGGAAGATGGATTGGTTCTTAAAAACCAAAAAACTTTGATAAATGCACATAAAGAAGTCACGTAAGGCTCAGTTTGAAATAAACCAAGAACTGCAGAATTCACTTATTATATATAATCCACAGACATAAACAACACAGATGGTCAATACCATTATTTTGTACTTACAGTTTTATAGAAGGCTTTAGACTGAACACTAAGATCGGCTGACCTGTCCACTAAAGCATCTAACTTCTCATCACGCTCCAGCAGTGCTTCTATAGTATTATGCTGTCAAAAACAAAATTCAGACTGTCTAGAATTACTCTTCTACAGGTTTAGCTTTGAAAATTTAATGAGCTTTTTAAACATTGTTGCATTTTGATTTTTTTCATTTTTGTCTTCAGAAATATATAGAGTGAATGAAAGTGGGCAAGCAAGTTACAGAAATGATAAAAGACATTCATACAGCAAAGATGAATTCTCTACATAAATAGTACATATAATGAATCAGCACATAAAACTTTTTACCAGTCTAAAATAGAAGTACTTGTCTATACACAACCCTGGTTCAATTTACAAGGTTAAAGTGATTTATCATTCTTAATCTGGATCATAATGCAAGAGGACTTGAAACCAGAGAATGGATCTTGAAATGATGATCTTGAGATACTAATTTACAACAAGAGTACCGCAGGGCGGAACAATATACACCTGTCAAATGCCATATAGTGTTATATACTTTCTTACATTGAAATAATATCTGCATCATTCTAAGAGTGGCTAGCTATAAACAAGAGGCCCAATGGGCCTGAATCGCTCACCTAGTATTAATCTAACAAATAATCTTTAAAGTGGACCAAAATACAGCTACAGGCAGAATATCAGTGTTTGACTCATAAGAACCTATTACATAAGGTTGAACAGAGTTTATAGTCAGTCGTCCAACCAAGCATGCTTCTGGCAAAATATCATAACCCTGGACCTTTTAGTTATACAGACCAAGTCATTTAAAGATTTAAACATATATTGACCACTGTGAACTTGCATATGGGCAAAGGTCATTCATTTGAAAAAACCTGGTAGTCCTTCATCCCAGCATGTTAATATGGCCAAATATCATCACCCTTAGCCTTTTGCTTATTGAGAAGAGGTTGTTTAAAGGTTTTAAACATATTTGACCCCTGTGACCTTTAATATATGTCGCGGTCATTCATTTTAACAAACTTGGTAGCGCTTCATACCAGCATGCTACAGGCCAAATATAATAACCCTCAACCAATTGGTTATTGAGAAGAAGTAGTTTTAAAGGTTTTAAACATATTTGACCCCTGTGACCTTGAAAATAGGTGAAGGTCATTTGTTTGAACAAACTTAGTAGCCCTTCATCCCAGCATGCTAAAGGCCAAATATCATCACCCTAGGCCTCTTTGTTATTCAGAAGAAATCGTTCAAAGATTTTAACATATTTGACCCATGTGACCTTGGATATGAGTGAAGTTCATTCATTTGAACATATTTTATACTTCATCCCAGCATCTCACTGGCAAAATATCATAACCCTGGGCCTCTTGGTAGTTCAGAAGAAGTTGTTTAAAGGTTTTAAACATATTTGACCCCTGCAACCTTGAAAATGGGCAAAGGTCATTTGTTTAAACAAACTTGGTAGCCCTTCATCCAAGCATGTTACTGGCCAAATATCATCGAAGGACTTTTGGTTATTGAGAAGAAGTTGTTTAAAGGTTTTTAACATGTTTGAACCCTGTGACCTTGAAAATTGATGAAGGTCATTTGTTTGAAAAAACTTGGTAGCCCTTCATTTCAGCATGTTACTGGCCAAATATTATCACCCTAGGCCTTTTAGTTATTCAGAAGAAGTTGTTTAAAGATTTTAACATATTTGACCCATATGACCTTGAAAATAAGTGAAGGTCATTTGTTTTAACAAACATGGTAGCTCTTCATCCCAGCATGTCACTGGCCAAATATCATCACCCTAGGCCTCTTGGTTCTTCAGAAGAAGTCGTTCAAAGATTTTAATATATTTGACCCCTGTGACCTTGAATATGGCTGAAGGTCATTCATTTGAACAAACTTGGTATCCCTTAATAACAGCATGCAACTGACCAAATATCATCACCCTGTGCATTTTGGTTATTCAGAAGAAGTTGTTTAATGTTTTCAACATATTTGACCCCTGTGACCTTGATTATAGGGGAAGGTCATTCATTTGAACAACTTGATAGCCCTTTACCCCAGCACGTTACTGGACTAATATCATCACCTTCGGCATTTTGGTTATTGAGAAGAAGTTGTTTAAAACATATTTGCCCCCTGTGACATTGAATATGGGTGAAGGTCATTCCTTTGAACAAACTTTGTAGCCTTTCATCTCAGCATGCTACTGGTCAAATATCATCACCCTGAGCATTTTGGTTATTCAGAAGAAGTTGTTTAAAGTTTTTAACATGTTTGACCCCTGTGACCTTGAATATAATTGAAGGTCATTCATTTGAACAAACTTGGTAGCCCTTCACCCATGCATGCTACTGGCCAAATATCATCTCCCTGGGCAGTTTGGTTATCGAGGAGAAGATGTTTAAAGTTTTTAACATATTTGACCCCTGTGACCTTGAAAATGGGTGAAGGTCATTAATTTTAACAAACTTTGTAGCCCTTCATCCCAGTTTGCTTCAGGCAAAATATCATCACTCTAGGCCTTTCGGTTATTAAGAAGAAGTCATTTAAAGTAAAATATTTACGCCGGAAGCGGGATGCCGCGCCACGGCATAAGCTCACTTAGCACTTCGTGCCAGGTGAGCTAAAAATGTTGGAGGAGATTGCTGGACAAAAATCAAATACTGAAATAAACAAAGAGCAATAACTTTTGCAAAAATTTTTGAATCAAAATTCTTTTCAAGGAAACACAACAACATATTATGATTATCTAGCCTATTAAGTTTCAAAGAAATCTGTCAAAAATGTAGGAGAGCTCCAGACAAAAAATCAAATACTGAAATGAACAAACGGCAAAAAAAAGTTATCAAATCAAATATGTTTTAAGGGAGATACAACTTCATATCATGATTATAATGTATACCAAGTTTCAAAGAGATCGGTCGAAAAATGTAGGAGGAGATTGCCGGACAAACAAAAGTTAAGACAGGATAGATGGACGGACAAACCCATATCATAATACTCCCGTAAAATTTGACGGGTGTATAAAAATTGGTAATTTAATTGGATCATACAGATAGATATTGAAGTAAGAACAGGCATATCAAAAGCCCCTGAAAAGCATGACTAAAGCCTGCACAACAAGAGCATCCAACAAACAGCTTGCTTTTTCCTTGAAGTGTGTATTCACTCCACAAGGTTTGTCCATTCTGTGGTTCTTTCCACTGTATCATTTTAAACATGAAGTCCTAGAATTACTTTCAGTATGTAAGATTGAAGGTATAGCTACATACCCTAACACTATATAGAATGCTGTAGTAATGAGCTTACCAGAATAATTTTTGTCTCGTCCAACTCCTTTTGTACCTTTGACATGGCATCAGCTTCTTGTGGATCCTTCAACAATCAATTTGAAGATTACATATTATTGTAAAAATTTGAACTGTACTCCAATTTGGTTAAACTTAACACATAATTAGTCACCCCTGGGGGAACCCCAGTGGGGACCACTAATTTCGGTTTCAGTCCCAGATTTTGACCTCTGTTGTCTTTGGCTGTTAAGTGTCTTGCTTCTGTCGGAATATACCAGGCGCTTATTACAAGCTCTTGATTAACTCAGATATCAATTTCCTTTCTAAACAGGAATAGCATAAAACCTAAAGGCGTTCCAAATTTCCCATGGGAATTACATATAACCTAAAGATGATACGAGTATGAATTAGGCACCTTTGAGGTTCTCGAAGGGGTAATTATTAACTGTCGTATTATAAATTGCTATTGACTGATTTAGATATTTTATGTCTGACCAACGACTACCGTTCATATTTGCGTATAGTGCACACTTTTTTAAGGGAACAAGAGGCCCAATGGGCCTGCATCGCTCACCTGGTATTAATCTCACACTTGTAATCTTAAAAATGGACTAATATACAGCTACAGGCAGAATATCAGTGTTTGATTCATAAGAACCTATTAAAAGATTTAAACATATGACGCATGTGACCTTGAATGTCGAACAAGGACATCAGGTTGAAAGTGGATCAAGGTCATTCATTTGAACAAACTTGGTAGTCCTTCATCCCAGCATGCTATAGGCCCAATATCAGTACCCTGGGCGTTTAGGTTATTGAGAAGAAGGCGTTTGAAGATTTTTAGACATCTGACTCCAGTGACCTTGAAAGTTGGTCAAGGTCAAACATTTTAACAAACTTGGTAGCCCTTCATCCCAGCATGCTACAGGCCCAATATCAGTACCCTGGGCGTTTCGGTTATTGAGAAGAAGGCGTTTGAAGATTTTTAGACATCTGACTCCAGTGACCTTGAAAGTTGGTCAAGGTCAAACATTTTTACAAACTTGGTAGCCCTTCATATCAGCATGCTACAGGCCCATTATCATTACCCTGGCCCTTTTGGTAATTGAGAAGAAGTTGTTTGAAGATATAAGACATTTAATATCAGTACCCTGGGTGTTTTCGCTATTGAGAAGAAGGCGTTTGAGGATTTTTAGACATCTGACTCCAGTGACCTTGAAAGTTGGTCAAGGTCAAACATTTTAACAAACTTGGTAGCCCTTCATATCAGCATGCTACAGGCCCATTATCATTACCCTGGCCCTTTTGGTAATTGAGAAGAAGTTGTTTGAAGATATAAGACATCTAATATCAGTACCCTGGGTGTTTTGGCTATTGAGAAGAAGGCGTTTGAAGATTTTAAGACATCAGACTCCAGTGACCTTGAAAGTGGGTCAAGGTCATTCATTTGAACAAACTTGGTAGCCCTTCATCCCAGCATGCTAAAGGCCCATTATCAGTACCCTGGCCCTTTTGGTTATTGAGAAGAAGTTGTTTGAAGATATAAGACATCTAATATCAGTACCCTGGGTGTTTTGGCTATTGAGAAGCAGACGTTTGAAGATTTTAAGACATCAGACTCCAGTGACCTTGAAAGTTGGTCAAGGTCATTCATTTGAACAAAATTGGTAGCCCTTTGTCCCAGCATGCTACAGGCCCAATATCAGTACCCTGGGCCTTTTGGTTATTGAGAAGTTGTTTGAAGATTTTAACATATTCCAATCCCTGTCACCTTGAAAGTTGGTTAATGTCATTTATTTGAACAAACTTGGTAGCCCTTCATCCCAGCATGCTACAGGCCCATTATCAGTACCCTGGCCCTTTTGGTTATTGAGAAGAAGTTGTTTGAAGATTTTAAGACATCTGACCCCAGTGACCTTGAAAGTGGGTCAAGGTCATTCATTTGAACAAACTTGGTAGCCCTACATCCCAGCATGCTACAGGCCCAATATCAGTACACTGGGCCATTTGGTTATTGAGAAGAAGTCGCATGAAGATTTTACGACATTTGACCCCTGTGACCTTGAAAGTTGGTCAAGGTCATTCATTTGAAAAAATTGGTAGCCCTTCATTCCAGCATGCTACAGGCCTAATATCAGTAGCCTGGGCCTTGTGGTAATTGAGGAGAAGTCGCTTGAAGATTTTACGACATTTGACCCCTGTGACCTTGAAAGTTGGTCAAGGTCATTCATTTGAAAAAACTTGGTAGCCCTTCATTCCAGCATGCTACAGGCCTAATATCAGTAGCCTGGGCCTTGTGGTTATTGAGAAGAAGTTGTTTGAAGATTTTACGACATTTGACCCCTGTGACCTTGAAATTGTTCAAGGTCATTCATTTGAAAAAAACTTGGTAGCCCTTCATCCCAGCATGCTACAGGCTAAATATCAGTACCCTGGCCCTTTTGGTTATTGAGGAGAAGTTGTTTGAAGATTTTAAAGACATCTGACCCCAATGACCTTGAAAGTGGGTCAAGGTCATTCATTTGAACAAACTTGGTAGCCCTTCATATCAGCATGCTACAGGCCCATTATCATTACCCTGGCCCTTTTGGTAATTGAGAAGAATTTGTTTGAAGATTTTAACATATTTCAATCCCTGTCACCTTGAAAGTTGGTCAAGGTCATTTATTTGAACAAACTTGGTAGCCCTTTATCCCAGCATGCTACAGGCCCAATATCAGTACCCTGGGCCATTTGGTTATTGAGAAGAAGTTGTTTGAAGATTTTAAACATCTGACACCAGTCACCTTGAAAGTGGGTCAAGATCATTCATTTGAACAAACTTGGTAGCCCTTCACCCCAGCATGCTACAGGCATAATATCAGTACCCTGGGGCTTTTGGTTATTGAGAAGAAGTTGTTTGAAGATTTAAGACATCTGACCCCAGTGACCTTGAAAGTGGATCAAGGTCATTTATTTGAACAAACTTGGTAGCCCTTCACCCCAGCATGCTACAGGCCCAATATCAGTACCCTGGTCCTTTTGG